AAGGCGAGCACAAAGAGAGCTTGTATTGGGGAACCGATCGTCCTCATGTTTATTTTGGAATCCGCTCAAGGAATTACGAAATTTTTTTAGTAGCAAAGCATGATTTCTTCTGTTTTCTTTTGTTTTGTTTTCTCAGATTTGTTAAGCATGATATTATTTGTTTAACTTTTTATGCTTATAATGGGAATGGCCTCAAGAAATCTGTGCTGTTTTGTACTGCTACCGTGTTGATTCTTCATTCTTTGTGTATTTTCTTTTTCATTCTTGGCTTTAATTTTCCTTAGCAAATCAGAGGAGGTATGGTGTTAATTAGCTATTGTTCTTGTGATTGGCAGGACTCCTCGCTCTTTAATTTCTGGATTGACGTGGATTGGTTTGAAGGATGGAAGGTATTTTATACGACATGTCTGTCAAGACTCTGATGAGCTAAGCAGATATGGGTGGACACAGCATAATGTACGTGGTTTTGGACATCAACTTCTGGTTGACCAGGACATGACCCTGGAAACAAGTTTCTTGAAAGCTAAAGGGGGTGGCAGTGGCCATGGATGTGATTGGGCAGTAAGGATTGATGTGCAGAGTGAGAAGTAATTGTCTGAACTATTGCAACATTTGACGTTTCAAGAATGTGCAATAAATACCATGCGGACATATCTGATTTTTCTACTTTACGTGTCTTAATTAGCTGATATTTATGTGATTCTATCTTGATTGATCATGTGAAAGATCTAGGTGGAATGATGAATTACAGAAAAATGCCTACCTTGTTCTCTATTTGGCTGATGAAGATGGAAGTGTTATAAGTTTAAGCCAAGATACCTTACACATTCATGAGAGTTCTCTGCTAGCTTCAGGTTGACGAGCTGATAATGGACACTGGCAACTGCATCTTAAATCAAAGGTAATAAGACAATAGAGTACTGAAACCGAAGTAGAAGGTGACAAGACATTGCATCTTATGAAACATAACTTGATCTCATCATTGTAAAGACTTGCCCATAAGCTCCGAAATTCTTTTGGCACACTTGCTGTGGTGCTATGTAAGCCATTCTAAATAAGATGGGCTTCATTCCTTTGCATTTTACTTAGTAACTAGTTTAAATTGACCACCCATAAAATTTCTCATGTGCCCATTATTTAAAAATTACTCTTCTTCTAGCTATCCAGTGTATATTTAAAGATAGGTAGGTCTCTCATTTGTAGAAGATATTTTCGTACAATAAATGTGTATGGGAAGGAAAATGTGAATTTGTTTGGTTACTCATGTTACCAATGATCAGTTAGGATTTAATATCTAGAATTTGTTATTCTAAATTTCTAGACGTCTGTAAAATCTGATCTGAGCCAACTCTTCATATTTGCCCTTCACAGGCTGGTTTGGAAGTCACTTATGCACAAACAATAAACTCCAACTACGCCAAATGAACTCCCTTCTACTTTTCTCTTTTGATTCTTGATACATTTTCTGTGATCAATTCTGTATTTCAGTATGTATAATATCCAAAAGATACATTTCTGTAATTCAGTATTTGGATTTTGGCCCATTGATTTGAAGATTTTGGTCCATGTTTCAGTTTGGTCTGATTTAAGCTCAAACAAAACCCAGCCCACAAGTACATCCGTCTTCGTGGCCTCCCTTAGCCACTTAACTCACTAGACTCAGTTTTCTCTGCAATTGCAATGCAATGGAAAACCTGATGTATTAAGTAGTGCGGTATACCGTATACGTAGTTGATAGCCGGAAATCGGCCAGCGGTGGTAGAGAATCAGGTCCTCCGTAGATTCAAATGACGACGATTCTCTCCGCACAATTACACCCAAATCAAAGTGCCGGTAGGAGGAGTGAAGACGATGGCAGTGCACTTGGAATTCTGGAATTTGTGTAAGGGATTCAGCGTTTTAGTATTCCAAATCATCTTCTTCGCAGTCAACATCCGTGAATCCCTTTTGAGAAGCTCGGACACTTGCTAGGTTTATGAAATCTGAACATGTCAATTGTCCCTTAGCTGATAGATCTATTAAGAAAGCCAGAGGCAAGATTCTTCTTTTTTTTTTTCTCTTGCATTAGAAAAATTGTGCCTCCCTTCCTCTTGCAATGTGAAGAAGACTACGCAACTTGGCTGTAGAGTGTAGGCAGTCTCAATAATATGGAAATTGAAATTTTGTTAAATTTCTTCTTTCTTCTTCACTGAAATTTTACGCCTACGTTGTATTTTTAATTTGAAAATTTCCTGTTGTTTTATGCAGGTAAAGCAGGTCCCCTTTTTGAAATTGAGATTCTGATTGGGAAGAGCTGAAGATTTTTTCAGTGTCACTTGTGGTGAGATTTCCTTAATTTTATGTTAGGAAATCCCTTTTTTTTTTTTTTTTTTTTCCTTTGCAAGGCATGCAAAGAGTTATACTTGATTCACTGAGAATTATCTCAAAATATAGACATTTATATGTGACATTTGACTAAGGTTGTATTGTATTCGTGCAGATGCTACCCATTCTCATGGCAACACTCCCATCCATCCTAAATGCTCCATAGAAAATTCTGCACATGACAAAGCTACTGTTGTGGATGATGAAACTTTCGCAAATGACATGAAAAATCAACTTATTGAGCTCTTTTGTAATAGATTCAATGGTACTGCCATTGTGAATGGTGATGAACAATTTAGAAGTTCAACCAGAAGACAAACCAGCAAACCTTTCGCAACCTGAAAGAGAAATCAAAACAGTCAGCTGCTGCCTTCTTAGTTTGGTGCAAAGCCTGGGCTTTGATGAGAGAAAGAAGAGACTAAACCCAGCCAAATTGGTCGATGGTAAACCAAATGTTTATACTATATAAATCCTTCTAGAAGTTCACACTTCATAATTAGCATTTTGTTAGAAAGAAAAATTGTCAGTATTAAATTGCTTTTCGTTTCTTAGTATAGTTTTGTGTTAATGTATCATCAAAGTAACATATAATCTCTCTATCAAAAGAAAAAAAAAAAAAAGGTAACATATAATCTTCTCTCGTGGTGCTACTGCATTTATATAATGGAATAGAAGAAGCGTTTGTGTTTGTATCATCTTCA